GCAACGTTGGGCTGGTTGAGGATGGTGTTGAACCAGCGGTTGAGGTTGACGAAGGGAGCGCGGGTGATGGTGTCGAGGTACTGTGAAGGAGGGGAGGGGGCATTTCGGAGGGGGAGGATGGAAAGCGTGTCAGAGAGGGAAGAGTGTACAAAAGAGAGAGGGGGGGCGGGGAGGGAGGGGAGGAGGGAGGTGGGAAGGCGGGAGAGATGTAGGCAGGTTTCTTAAACACAAGGCCGATTGACTCAGACTTGGCCTCAAACGGCTACCACATTGCTGTCGCAAGTCTCAGGAAAAACCGCCGCAGTGGAAAGGCTCACGATGGTTTTGCAATAAATACTTGCATATGTGTGTGTGTGTGCGAGGGGGGATGTAGAGAGACAGAGAGAGGGAGGGGGGGGTAATGGGTGGCGAGGAAGGAGAGCAGAGGCTGTGCTGCCTCCCCTGGCTCCGGGAAACGCACCATCTTGTACAGGGGCAGCAGAGTGCAGAACAGGACAATATCGGCAAGGGTGACCTGCTCGGAGGCGAGGTAGGTGCGGGTGGTGAGCCACTTCTCGAGGGCGTTGAGGGAGCGGCGCAGACCGGAGGCAGCGGCGTTGTGGGCGTCCTTGTCGTAGGCGCGGATGCCGAAGATCGGGTACAGGAGAGTGGCGAGGTGGCCGACGATCTCGTTGTCAGCGAAGGACATGAAGGTCTGGACGAGGCCCTTCTCGTAGGCGGTGGCACCGAGCAGGCCGACGGACTCGTCCTGGGCGGCCAGGTAGAAGGCAATGGCGTTGGACTCGAAGAGGGGCTTGCCGCAGGGGGTCTTGAAGACGGGCATCTTGGCCATGGGGAAGAGCTCCTTCATCTCGTCGGTCTGCAGATCAGCAGGGAAGTTGAAGGCAGGCTGGTCGACGGTCTTGCCGACATACTTGGCCGCGATCAGGGCCTTGAGGGCGCGGGGGTTGGCGGCGGAAGAGTACAGGGTACCGGCAGACATGGTGGCAGAGGAGGAGGCGATTGGGACGATAATACGACAAACACGACTAACACACTTCTCGGAGGCCGAGCGCGCGGGCGGCGCTGGAGCCGGAGCGGCGCCTTTTATCCCCCCCCCCCCC